GACCTTAAGCAACCATAACAAGCAGGCAAAATCAGAACTTTTTTTAGTTTAGAGTCAAGCTTGAAACAATATAGAAGTATGTGTAAAAGTTTAAGCAAGAATGTGCTATTTAAAGTTTAGAATCTCACATTTGAAGAACAACTTCAAGAACATAAGACCAGCAACTGTCTCTGATCAAAACCAGCTCAAGAACCTTAAAACCAACCTCCTAGTACCTTAGCACACAAGGATGGTGTAACTCTAGGTGTTTGTGTGCAATAGTAAGAACAAAACACACTTTTGAGCTCAAACACACACACAAATCTAGAGAGAGAGAGATATAGAGAGAGATATATCTAACTTGTATATCAGATTTCTAGAATCCCTGGAAAGGGAGAGGAGGCTCTCTTTTTATAGAAAATCAATTTTGCAAAGCTTCTTGGAGAAGCTAAGCAAGGCTCAAATCTCTCCATACACGTGTATGGAGGGGGGAATTGTGCGTGCCAGTTGTTCTAGTTGGCACAAAATATCTGCCAAAAGCATATGGAAAGGGGTCGGCTGGAAAATATGGCCGATTGACCAACAAACACTACTACAAAATAGTTAAAGATCACACTTTGACCAAAAAAAAAAAAAGATCTCACTTTTATTGGAAGTGTGATAAAAAAAAATTAGATTAATATTTTAATTACACGTAATTTGATTGAGTGTGATAATATTTATTTTTTATGTCACTTTTCAATTAAGTGTGATTATATATATATTTTTTAATCACACTTTCTAATTAAAGTGTGATTATATATACACTATTACTTTTTAATCACACTTTTTAAACAAGTGTGATTATATATATATATTTTTAATCACACATTCTAATTACAGTGTGATTATTTATATATTTTTTAATCACATGTTCTAATTAAAGTGTGGTTATATATACACTACTACTTTTTAATCACACTTTTTAAATAAGTGTGATTATGTATATATGTTTTAATCACACATTTTAATTAAAATGTATTTATTTATATATTTTATAATCACACATTCTAATTAAAATGTAATTATACATACATTATTACTTTTTAATTACACTCTTTAAATAAGTGTGATGGTATAAAATATTTCAAGTGTGATGGTATAAAATATTTCAATTTAACTTTCATATAAAATATACCATTCCCAAAACCCTTTCACTTTCTCTCCATCGTTCATCTCCTCTCTCTCTCTCTCTCTCTCAGCTCTCTGCAAAAACTCTTCAAACCCCTACCCTCTCTCTGCATCAGACGCCAAATCCCAAACCCTACTCTCTTTCTTTTGCAAAAACTCTTCAAAACCCTCACTCTCTCTCTTCTTTAGACCCCAAATCCCAACCAGCATAACAATGAGTGAGAAGGAGAAGATGGACAAAGAAAATACACACAGACAGAGCTCTGAACCAGAAGAAAAGAACAAAGAAAGAGAAGTAACGACGGAGAGAGAAGATGGCCGAAAGGAGACGGAAGAGACGAACGCACGCAAAGAACACTTCCACCCTTCAACCAGGTTTGTAGATTCAAACTGGGGTTTTGATTTGGGGATTTTCACTAAAAAATCAAGGTTTTGATTGAGCAATTCCAAAATTATGTAAAATTAGTGAACCTTAAGGAACTCTAGTTTCTTGAATTAATTCTGAAAGCATGTGATTATATTGTTTTAGATTGTGAATTTTTCTCTTTTTTTATGAACTTCTTGAATCTGAGTTGGCAAAAATATCTTCAATGTCAATTGCTTATTGTGTACTTGGGTTCTTTATGGGTTGAACACAATTTTTTTTTTTTTTAAATTTGTTATTCTAAAACAATTGATGTTCTGTTACAAAAATTAGGATACTTTAACTTAGTTGTGATTGTATAAAAAAAAATTATAAATTTTTTTTTTATTGAATCTAAAATTAGAGAACCCTAAGGGAATTCCAAGTTCTTGAACTAATTTTGAAAGCATGTGATTGTATAAAAATTAGTTTCTTGAATTAATTTTTTTTTTCTTTGGTTTAAGTTCATTTTAATTTGCAGCGAGTTGAAAAATTAGCTTAAGTGGTTAATGCATGTTAGTTGAAAATTCTGCTTCAATAGTTCTTGCTTATGAGTACATAATTTATTTGCTACTAATTTTCTTCACAAATCTCTGTCTCTCAAATTATTATTTTTGTTGTGAAATTATTATGTTTCTTATTTTCATTTGGACTTGGACAATTAGGGATTTAGATTATTGCCATTGATTGATTGCTGTAGCTCCATTTTAAAAAATAAATTGGTACAGACACACTTTGGTTATACCTTAATGGGACGGTTGTTTTGGATAAAACTAAAACCTATATCACAAGTATTCTTGAAAGGGAAGATATGTACATTTAACAATATTTACTTGCTCTACATCCTAAGAAGCATGGACATGGACACGTGACACGACACGAATACGACACGGACACGCCGACACGTTAATTTTAAAAAAATACAGGACACGACACGTGGAGGACACGCATGAAATATATAATTTTATATATTTATTATATATTATATATATGAATATATCATTCAAAGATAATAAAAAATGAAATATAGCACTATTTCCTATAAATTAATATGGTTTTTGTTTTATTATTGTATCTTAAGTTGTTTTGTTCAAACTTATAATTAGTTTCACATATGTATAATCAATAGACACATGTGTTTAAACAATTGACACGTGTGTCCTCCAAGTGTCCAAAGAGTGTCCGGATTTTTAAAAATATTTAAAAAATAGGACACGTTTTGAAGAGTATCGGACACGTGTCCTGAGAGTGTCCAAAGAGTGTCGGTGTCCGACACGGACACGACACGGATACGTCACCTTCTTAGAAGTGTCTGTGCTTCTTAGTCTACATCTCTGATCTATTAAAAAGTTTAGCAATGAAACTCAAATCCATTTGCCTGGACTCAGCTAATAGTGTCCTTTCTCCTCATTATCTAATGTTATTCTCCATGAAGTCAGCCTGTGTATTTGTAAGCACTTGATACATTCTCTTTTTTCAAGTTCTCTCTTCTTTCTTTTTTTAAAGCTTTGCATTAATAAATGGGTGGGGATTGTTGGAAAAATGCTTAAGCTCCAGACCTAAAAACCACTTCATAAGCATGTGGTGATTGTAAAACAGAGTGAGTGAGGAAGGTCTAAAGATGAAATTTCATGGTCAAATTCAACTTTATCTGCGTGGCTGACTATATCATAAATGTTCATATTGTCACTTCTTTCAGCTCTCAACTAGGTAGATGAAAAATGTTTATCTTTAGCAAAGTTCTTTTTTCTTTAAAATTTACGGAGATATGGAAGCCTTTTCTTATAATAATGTTTTCTTTTCTATTATTTTTCTTACTTGATTTCTTGTGGTTTAACAGGTCATAGGGAATTACTAGTTTCAATTTGTTTCAACGAACCTGGATGGCAATGGTCAGGATGCTTTTTACCAGATCATCTGAGTGATACTCAGGTGAAAATGCAGAATCATGTTTCTGGTGCAGTCAGTATGATACGTGTAAGTACCACATTATGTTGAATTAGCATGTGGATTGTTGGAAACAGTGAGTAGAAGCTCAACGGTGAAAAGATGCAGATCTGCTCTCTCTTCGACCAGATCTGTTCTCTCTCTCTCTCTCTCTCTCTCTCTAGAATCTGCTAACATGGTAATGTCAGATCTGCTTTGTCTCTCTCTAGTCCATTATTTTTCCTTTTTTTGGAATCTCATTTTGGCATTTCTTGCTTTCTAACTCTTCTAATAATCATTTTGGTGTAGTTCCCATGTAAATTGATAAACTTGCATCTTGGTATGTTTTCTGAGTTTCCTTGTTTTTCAAGCTGCTACACATGGGTGGTCCTATTATTATTATTCCCCCTTTTTGTTCAAAAATGTAGTTAGAATCATGTGTAGACTGAATACCACTTTGATTTTATGCAGTTGAATCCATTGATTGTCTTTTTAAGTTGTTTATTTATTTTTAATTTTTTAATTTTTTATTTCAGATGAAGCATGCTACATTGATGTGGAAATCCTATCAAGGTGCCTGGAAGCAAAGTTGACAGTTTGTTGCTGCTCTTTAAGCAGAGACAAAGAGGTTATATATGTTGACATTAAATACATGTTTAGTACAAAAATACACAAAACATTGCTCTTACAACCACCACTTATGGGTTCAGCCTTATAGAAATTAACAAATAAATTATGTGTTCTCCCCTTTGTATGCATATATGTATCCATATGTGATAAATGATGTATACATATATGTGTTCTCCCCTTTGTACTGCTAAGTTGATATAATTTCTCTTTTTGGAGGGGGGGTTGGGGGAATTTGTTTCAAGAATTTTGGATAGTGGGCAGAGATATGCCAAGAGGTAATGAATTTGTTCACTAATTTTTAATTTCTCACGTTTTTAAATCTATTAAGACATGATGTGATTTGGTGTTGGAAATTAGTGAATAATTGTAGTTTTTAATTGTTTTATTAACAAAACAATTGATGTGTTCTAATTGATGTTTTGATGCTGATCCAAACGCAAGTAAAAGCTTTGTTTGTGTACATGATTTTTTCATGTTTTTTGCTTAGGTCTGTGTGGTGCTTGTTATCATGCTTTGTGAAATTGACTCCTGAAAGATGGAATAATTATCAATTTTTTTTTTACTCCTTATATCAATAATTGGCTCTGATATATCTCATTTCAGAAGTTATGATTGCGACCCATTTGTTAATTCCTTTATGTTTGTAGGCAGTCGTAGGGAAGATGACTGGACCTGCCCTAGCTGTGGAAATGTCAAATTTTCATTTAGGACGACTTGCAATATGCGCAACTGTACTCAATCGAGGCCAGCAAACTACAACTCAGTAAGATCTGAAATTCGATGTGATATTAACCACCCATGAATCAGTTAACTCAATTAAAGTTCCTTATAGGAGTTATGTAGAGATTCATGTTATAATATGCATGTGTCATTTTTGATAAGTACTTTAATTTTGCATATTTATCTAGATCTGTTATTTAATAGGCAACTTAATGCTTTCACAGTGTTCTTTGTAAGATTAAAAGTTCTCTTTTAAGTCACAATGGCAGACATGTTAATTATATGTGTGAACATTACCCTGAACGTATTTATGAGGTCTTTTAGTTATATCTGGCTTGTTGGTTGCTTTAATTCTCATTAATGTCCTGTCTGGTTGAAGTTTTCATTTTATGAGCTCTTCAGTCTGTATATACTTTCATCACATCATCCTTGCTTGCCATCTTCATTTTGTTTTATCATGGTTGATCAACATGTTTCATGGTTTGGTGGTGTTTTGCAGCTAATTTATTTTTTCTGTCTACTATATTATTGAATTCTTTAAACCAATTTTTTTTTCTTCTTATCTTTCAGAAATCTGCTGCAAAACCCATACAACCCATGCATGTCTACTTATCGTCAGCTCCCTATGTAGGCTCTGGTGCACCCTCCTCGATGTATATGGGTGTGCCACCTTATGGATCTTCTCTCTTCAATGGATCATCTTTGTCTCCTTATGATGTTCCATTTTCTGGGGGTTCTGCCTATCCTTACAACTACGGCAGCCGCCTTTCTAGAGGCAGCCCGTATAGACCCCTGCATATAGCTTGTCCAACACCTTATTCTAGTGGATCTATGATGGGAAATGGTACGTGTTTCTCTTGTGCTTCTTATTGCTTGCATGATTTTAAAAAAAATAAATAAATAAAAATTCTATAAAGCCTGTTTTCGTTGTATCAATTTCTAATTACCTTTTTTATTCCCCTTACCTGGTTAACTATTCTGTCATTATGCATCCCTTTATCTACTCTACTTTTTTCCTTAGAGGTAACTTTTGTGAATCTTTATCTCTTTTTATAGGCTTCATCGGAGAGCTCTGTATTGGTGTAGGCCTGTGATTAGTTATGTATGCTTTTTGGTAAATAGAGATTTTTAATGTAGTTTATTTTATTTAGAAAAACCTGCACCCCTATACCCATCCACCCACATACATGAGAAAAAGGTGATTTGTAGTATTAGAAATTTTTTAGGGTTTATTGAGCATATAAAGATATGATAATCGGCTTATGATTCTTGAAGGCTAGTGCATTCTACAGTCTTACTTATTCAGTATCTTCAGTTGATGCCCATTTGGTCTCTTTTTTTTCTTTCTTTTTTTTTTTTTGATTTGCATTTGGCTTTTGTTTTGGTGTAGCATTTATGAGGTTATGTTTTTATTTATTATTATTTTTGTTTGTTTTAGGCAGGATTTACGGTATGCCACCCCTGATGGACCTCTATGGCTTGGGTATGGGTATGGGTATGGCCATGGGCCATGCTGACATGGTATGTGCAAAATGTCCATGTCTAGAGCTGTTTACTAATTAATTTATTTGCAAGGAAGCATAGTACTACAGAATAACGTATATGATGCCCGCATAATCATGTTTAAGTTGACAAATATTTTCAAAACCATACTCTTTCTCTATGTGATGGTTTGGGAAAATTTTCTCTGAACTCCTCTCCTTCTCTACCTAGGTTCCCATTATTTGTTTTGGTACGTGAATTATTGAAAGCGCTGTCACCTCTTAGTATATTTTCTTGTATTAGATGTTTGGTGGAACGAGCTCATGACTGAATTTTTTTCTGCTAGGCCCAAGGCCTGGACTTTTTCCAAATGATAAATATCAAAAGAAAGGTTCAGATTTTGCCATATCTAGGCTGTTTTTGAACTTCTGACCAATGATTTGACTTGATGCTATCTCTTTATGTACTAACTTGTATCTCTGTGTCTTCGAACATTGCTTTGTTGAATATGCAGGCTGCGAAATCTGATTCCAATTCTAGTAAGTCCTTTTAAACCTTCCTTGTGGTTGGCTGCAATTTCTTAGCACGATACTTATAGAACTCGTCTTTCAGAACACAAGATGCCCGATGGGAACTGGAAGTGTGAGAAATGCAATAACATAAACTACCCTTTTAGGACCAAATGTAACAGACAAAACTGTGGGGCCGATAAACCATCTGAGGGACAGAAATCCCCTTCAGAACCAGCAGATGAAAACGATCAGGTCTGTCATGAGATACATTTACTTACTATGTCCATTTGTTGCTTGAAATTTCCATTAAGATTGTTAACCATCTATGTGTATAGCACAAACAAAAAAAGTATTAAAGTTCACGATATATCTTTAGTTAATGATCTTTTGGTGGAACTACTATTTTCCCCTCTTGCTCTGCTTGGTTAGATCTTGTAGTGGTTGCTTCTGTGATTTTCCTATTTTGATATTTGTTGCTTCTACCTCCTTGAGCATTTATTAATTTTGCAATTGTCTAATTTTCCAGTGAGTTCTATAGGAAATGTTTGTGGGTTGAGAAAGGTCCAGAGTCGGCGTCGTCCAGCTATGCTCATTATGGGTGTCTGAAAGTCAGTCATGTCGTCGTATTGCCACACTTGTCAAGTTTATTCTTCCTTCTCGTGATCTGTGTCGAGGTGTATTAATAAACTGGGATTTGGTATTTTTGGTCTAGTATGGATCTTTATTCATATTATGCATTGTGTCTGCCAGTTTTGTCTAGTAAGAATTTTAAGGGAGGTTATCGTTACTTTTTAAGACAGGATTTTGCCTACCTGTTTTAATGGGTTTGTTGACAAATATGCATAAGATTGAGCCATATATGCTATATATAAACTATATATAAGTGTAGGTCATAACTGCATTCTTCCTCTTTCAGGATTATAATTAGGTATCTGTATCTTACAAAATTTGGGGACTAGGAAAGTGTAGTCAGTCAACTAAGTTGGGGTTTGACAATTGTTTTTTTTTTGTTAGTTTTTTTTCCTCCCTTTTTTTGCCGGATATAGAAATAATGGAGATAGATATCGAGTTGGACTTTGGATGTCGAGAGTAGTGTACATTCCAACTTGATAGCAAGGATGCAGTAATAGAACCAGATGCCCTTGATTATTGAAATATTGCACTACTTGAACAATTCTAACATGAAAAATTGATGGGAAATTGATGTGAAAACCGTGCTTCTTAGATAGCCAATTACTTAATGTCAACTAAATCAATCAGGTAAGAATTTTGGTTCTTGATGAAGCCATTGCTTCAGTTGATTCACATATAGATAATCTTATCTAAAAGATCGTCTGAACAGAGTTTAGGGACTGCACTGTGTGCACTATTGCTCATCGTATCCCAACTGTTATTGACAGCGATCTAGTTCTGGTCCTCAGTGATGGTGCGTACGCTAATACTTCCCATTTCTTCTATTTAGTGGACATAAGTGTTGCTGCAATCTGTAGAACTTTTTCCTAAGAATTTTAGTATATTCTGCATTTGGTAATGTTATTAATTTTCACGAGTATCCAAAAAAATTTCATTTCTTTTTCTTTTAATCTTTTGACAAGATAAATTAAATTAGTAAAAGGCTCTAGAAGAGGAAGCCGCCCTTGTAGATCTGTAGGAACAATATCATCACCCACAACTGTGTAGATATCTTACGATGAATAATTCCCTGACTCAGCATCTTCTTTTTCACTAGTAACACCGACTACGCACAATGTGTTTGCATTGAATAAAATTTTCCAAGATTCATCAAATTTTTTTGATGTTCTTGAAATGATGGAAACTCAAGGAGATTATGGTATACAAGAGTATATATCTAATCTTGATCCTCAGGATATGCAGGTGAATATGTATCTTGATTAAGAGTTAACTTTTAGAATGTAAATAAGGGTTTGAGAGAGTTGTTGGTCTTCGAAGTCAAAGTCTTAGGTTTGATATTTTACACTGTAAAAATATTAGAGAGTTTTGCTTCTCATTTCTTAACTTTACTATGATGGTATGGCAAGTATTATCTAAAAATGATTCTGTCTCTTTGGCTCACGGTAATTGCTGGAAGTTGAATGAAGGATGTTGCTTCTTGATCCTCTTGTGACTTGTCCCATCAAATTTATTAACATAATGTTTCTACAACTCCAAGGTTGTTTGTGCAGTCAATCTTTATTTTATTTTCATCTCTCTCTGAAGTATCTAAGTATCAAAGTCACTTATAGGTCATTCCATTACAGTTCTATTTTCGTTTTTCTTTTCGCTCTTCACTTCTATGAATTTATGCATTTGAAATACCCAGAATTTATTAGATTTGGAATCCATTGATGCTAAGTTTTAACTGGTAATCTTTCTTATAGAACATCAAAACTTGAGTCTAATATTTTGGAATTTGTTTTAGAACAGTTTCTCAGTTTTTTATCATTTAATTCCCAGTGAAATTTTAGTCTATGTTGTGTTTCTGCTGCACACACCAACAGAAAGCTCATGAAACTTAGTTTTGCAGGTCAAGTGACAGAGTGATAGTCCAGCAAGGTTATTAGATGACAAGTCTTCCATGTTTCTTAAGTTGGTGTTAGAGTGCTCATCTAGATCAACTAGTGCTCTTTGCATAACCATTTAGCCTTGTTTTATAGATGGAATCCTTCAATAATAGCTTGGTTCTTTCTTTCCTTTGATCACTTGAATTTCTAAATTCTAGGGCGTATTTGGTTTCTATTTTAGTCAACGGACACGTCACCCCTCAAGAATTCAAGTTTTTTTTTTCATAAAAAATTGAGTATACATATATTTATTTATTTCTCAGTATGTATTTCTGGGTAATATGAAGTGTATTGAGTGAGAATTAGCTTCTTGTTGTAGTAGATGTATTGGTTAAATTATCAATTTTAGTGCTAAATTATCAATTTTAGTGCTAAATCTGATTTGCTGGCCATTTCTATTGTTGTTTGTTATGTTTAGCCATTTGTTTATTTTGGGTACTTGGAACTTTCACTTGTTTATAAAATACTCTCTTTGGTTTATTTTTCTATCACTAGTTTGCTTTTTTAGGTGTGCTATTGATGTGTAAGTAATGGCTTTGTGACATTCATTTCAAAGGTTGTTTCTTGTAGTGATTGATTTATCTTAATCTATTATTGTTTAATAGTAAGGGAGGGTGATAACAACTGACTATTTGCAAAAAAATTGTGCTCTAGGTAGTAAGTTTAATGTCTGCCCTTTTTGTAAAAGTGAAGTTGAATCCAGCAACCATGTTTTGTTACTGTGCTCTAAGTCTGAGCTATTAAATTGGTGGGGTTTTTAGTGAGCAACTCCAGATTCACTTGAGGGTGTGCTCCAATGGTGGTCTGGAGTGAAGCTAAGTAAATTGGAAATGAGTGCTAGATGTGTATATAAATACTGTCATCTTTATATATGGTAATTCAAACATTTTATACTAGTAACAATCAAAGTTATTCATTTTCTATTGATGCAGGAGATGAAGAGTCAGTGTAATGAGAAAATGTCCGATTTTGTCTTTTGTAAGACAAGAACAGTCTCTACAAAAATAGTAAGTTTATTCATGTACTTTTAGCGGCTTTTGAATTAATTTGTGTTTTTGTTTTTCAGGTCAGAAATTTCTTAGAGTGATGCAAAATATGGTCAAAGAATTCAAGAAATTAGTTTTTTCAAGTTTCTTCATTTTTTAATATATGTAATCATAGTTAAAAACTTTTTATTAATTCCTTTGTATGTATTTTTGAACATTTAACTTTCATTTATAAAATATATGATATTATTTCATTCAATATATGGTTGTGATTCAAAATATAGTATATAGTGTGTATTACATTCTTTAAATGCGCGTACAAAAATAATATTATCACAGGTTTTATTAATTATTAATCACATTTAAAAGATGTGATCTAAATGTTATTAATTACAATTAAAATGTGTGATGTAAATGTTTTTAATCACACTTAAAAGGTGTGATTAAAAGTGACTCTTTTTAATCACACTTCCAAAGATCTCGCTTTAATAAAACTTAAAAAGTGTGATTAGATAACATATACCACACCAAAAAAGTGTGATCTTTATTTGTTTTTGTAGTAGTGAAAGGTGGCTGACCGACCAAAAACAATGCCGATCGGCCAGTACCTTTGGCCGATGGAAAGAAAAAGGGGCCGATGGCTTCATGCCTTGGCCGATGGGTCGAGAAATGGCCAACAAGCCACCCTCTTCCCTTAAAAGCAAAAATACAAGTGTTCGGTCCACAACCAAGTACAAAACAGTCAAGTTGAGAGATCTTGAGGCAAGGCGTGTGGCCGAGACCTCCGGGAACTCAAAACGAACACGAGCATAGATGATCATCGAGTGTTCAAACGATGACGTCCAAGTCTTGAGGACGGTCCAAAATGGGGTGTCTACACATGCGCGCGCGTGTGGTGGTTTAAGCCAAGGTTCAATTTGTCAACAACTCCTCCCTTCTACAAACTTGGGGTGCCCCTTGGGACCCAACCCAAGTTGCCACCTAGAACTTATATACACACATAAGTTCTCTTAAGTTTCTAATATGGGACAAGCCTTGCAAGGAAACCAACATTTTATTCTTTATTTGTTCATTCCACGAACCCAAAAATGACGTCAACTTCTTATTCACACATAAATGGTTTTGACGAACCATTTTCATCGTGTGACTTGCCATGCGGCAAGGAACACGTCACCTCTTTGGACCCACCTTAAAAGACGTGTGAGCCCCATCTAAATTTAGGCTCAAAGTTAGCCAAAAATAAGCCTATAAAATCATATTTTTCTAACAATCCCCCACATGAATGGAATTTGACAAAGAGAAAATGCAACAACATGATCTAATTACAGAGAGTATAGAAATTGGGAATATTTTGCAAAGGATAGGTAGATCTTGGCTTTGAACCTTCCCTTGTGAGATACTATCAGATTTACTAGCTAACCAGTAAATATGATGTCTTGAATTGTTTAGCTATTTGTGTAAACCAATACAATAGAACTTATACAGTATATTACCAGACACAGTTTAGTTCTCATTATTGTGTTCATTTTGGCCTTGAACAACCTAGTCTTTCATGAGTGCGCTAGAGCATTGTAGCCCTTCACAAATCTCATAGAACCGGCCCAGTTCACACTCATATAGGGATTCTTATAAAGAGTATCTTGCCATACTCCACTAGATATACCTAGATGTAAGAATCATTAAAAGTACTACTTAACCTAAAACGCTGTAGACATCACTATTTCATCATAGAAATGGGTAGGAGTTTGACTCCCCAATGATCCTTCTGAGTCATACACAACTTGGTTGTCCCTTTGAACTTAGATCTTGGGATCTCCAGTCAACTAGGTTGGGTTGCCGTTGTGATAACTCT